GTACTTTTGAGTCTTGAGAACTCTCATTTTCTGTGCGCCCACAGATCGCGATAAGGAGAGTGACAGATTTTAATCATTATTCAAGGAGTTTGCAAATGTGATATTGATTTAATACAACAGTTCAATAAACACGTACTGCCTTATTTTGCTCTATTTCATCAACAAAAATAGTTCCAAATAAAGTAACAGCTCAGCCGCTGCGCACCTCTAAAAGCAAACACAGCGGTGTTTTATTCATGAATGAAAGTACGTTTTTGAACGAATCTAGTGAGTGAGTGATTCATGATTACCCATTCATAAAGACGGTCACTTGCTTCATTCCTGAATGAATTAGCCGTTCAAACGAATCAACTGAATGAATGATTCAGTGATAAAATCCGTGATTTGCCGCCACATGCTGGCGGTTTCAGTTTCATTTTTAGGTATAATTGACAATCAACACAAACACACTGCAGAATAATCTCCTTGAATTGTTTACATCGTGAACCCTCTTCTAAAAGCACACTTCCAAAAAAACCCCCCAAAAAAAAACGGTCCACAGAGTGCACTTTTTAAAACTAGCAAAACTGCCAGACATAATGCATTTTTTGTCACTAATATTACTTAGGTCAAAAATAGAGAATGACAAGCAACTTAAAGGTCCCATATTTTACACCTTTCTGGAGTTTTATTTTAGGTTTAAACGCGATAAAACGAGCGGACTGGACAAAAACGATCGTCAAAAATGCTCGCATTTGCAGCGCACACTTATCAGAAAAGTTTCAATAAAGTATTTTTTGTTGTTATGGGCACGTCTACAGATTTCTTGTCATATGTTTCTTGCATCTCACGACTATGTCGTGTATGAAATAATGTCTGTGTGCATGTGTGTATAGTAACAATCCTGTCAGATCGTCCATCCTTTGAGCGAGAGTGTAACGTTACAGGTCGGCCGATCTGGTTTCGTGTTTAAAGTTAACCTTTTCGACATGTTTCCGTGTCGTTACTCAGCAATGGCATGGAGGCGATGTTGTCTGGGGGTTTGGCAAAAGGAGAGTGGGACTGTGGGCGGTGCTCGGGGTGGTGACTGAAGGCGGTGACTTTGTAGTTCTGACGTCAACTTTTTACGGAAGTCACAACGGTTCGTGAAAAATCACAGCTACTTTATGCAGGCTGTGTGCAATTTACTGTGGACTGACTGTTTTGAAACTTATATGGTAGTTACATAGCACCTAGACCTCAGTTATCATGAAAAAAGCCAGGAAATTTCAGTTTTGGCAATATGGGACCTTTAAACTGTTGCATCCATGTTTTATTGTTCACACCGACAAGATGCCAAAATGTTGCCATGGCTATCACTACGTCAATCAATGCAATTTCATCAGTGACTCACACATGGAACTGTAATTTAGTGGAATTACTACCACATTTAAAAGCAGTCGTCACTCCTAAAACTTTGGTCCTCTTTTCAACATGAAAAACAAAACTTTTATTTAAACAGTGAAATGATTATATAAAAAGTGAGCAAAAAAAAAAAGCCCCTCCATTTATAATCACTGAAGCTCTCAATCACTAGATTTTAATGAAAGCTAACTGACTTTTACATTCTTGCTAAAAGAAGCAACACTGCATAATGAATCTCTTATCTACACTGTTGGTTATAATAAGAGGATTCATTAAGTTAAACTTATTCAAATATAACTGCTTATCAATGAACATACATACAGCACATCAAATAATGTAAACAGAAGCTCAAACATGTTTTACACACAAGGTTTGTGAGTTTCGCTTTACCATACTATATAAGCTATATGTATGTGCACTGATCAATGCTTATATGTAAATAAAAGCCTAAATTAAATCTGGTCTTGAAATAAAGTCATTGTGTATCTTCAGAAGACTTTTAATTTTTAGGTGAACTATTCCAAAGTATGAAGGTTAAGCACCTCTTTTCAACTAACCATTTGAGGAAAAAGGCATAAAAAAATAATAACATTTAAATTTTTAAGAGTTTCAGGCCCTATTGTGTTCCCCATTTATGGAAAGTCTCTAATAGTATGCCAATATTTTGACATAACTGTATGAAAGGCTTGTATAATTACCATTAATACATCTTCATATTTTAATATCTAAGCAATGGTACTTTGGGCATACTTAATGTGTGCTATCATTGTCTTTCCACTTGAACAACATTATAAAACCCTTTTTTAAGAGTTTTTTGATCCACACAAGGACAACCATGCACTGGTTACCATGGCACTTTTTCGAAGGATCCCATGGTTCTCAGAGAACTAAGATCTACAGACCTAAAGCTTCTCACGCATTCAACTTTCAACATATAGCCTAAAAGACAAGTCAACAAACCTCACACTGAATGTGGCTGTAGCAAAACAAGTTTACGATAAATACGGCAAAATAC